CGTCGTCGTCGCCGCCGCCGCCGCCGCCGCTGCCGCCGTTCGTCGTCGCCTGCCGTCGCCGTCCGACCAACATCCGCTCGAAAGTTGTCTGGTCCCTGGACGCGCACAGGGCCGATCCCAGTCAGCCTTTTGCGCCGCGTCCCGTCGTGGCGACGAGGGCTCCGAAGCGTCCAGAGGCCTCCGGAGCGAGGACGCCGTCGCCGCCGCCGCCGGTCGCCGCGGTCGTCGCCGCCGTGGCCGTCGTCGTCAGGGTTGTCGTCGTCGGCAGCCGGGTTCGCCAGGGGGCGCGTTGGCCGCCGCCAGCGACGGGGCCGACCCGGGCGAGGACTCGGGTGCCTCCAGGCGGCGGGCTCGTCGCGGTCGTCGCCGTCCTCGTCGTCGTCGTTGTCGTCGTCGTCGTCGTCGTCGTCGTCGTCGTCGTAATGGTTTTGGTCGTAGCCGTCGCCGTGGCCGTGGCCGTGGCCGCGGTCATGGTCGTGGTCGTGGTCGTGGTCGTCGTCGGCGTCTTGGATGTCGTCTTGGTCGTCGTCGTTGTTATCGTGTTGGTCGTGGAGCCCGTCGTCGTCGTCGTCGTCGTCGTCGTCGTCGTCCTCGTCGGTGTCGTCGTCGTTGTCGTCGTCGTCGTCGTCGTCGTCGCCGTCGCCGTCGCCGTCGCCGTCGCCGTCGCCGTCGTCGTCGTCGTAGTCGTCGTCGTCGTCGTCGTCGTCGTCGTCGTCGTCGTCGTCGTCGTCGTCGTCGCCGTCGTCGTCGTCGTCGTCGTCGTCGTCGTCGTCGTCGTCGTCGTCGTCGTAGCCGTCGTCGTCGTCGTCGTCGTCGTCGTCGTCGTCGTCGTCGTCGTCGTGCGAATGTCAACGGTAATGTTGACGACCGCCGCTGCCACTGACCCCTCAAGCTATTGTCTGTCCGAGAGGGATGCCTGTCGACCTGGCCTCGGTCGGCTGTCTGTTCCCCATGGGCTCGTTCTACCTCCTGGCGCGGCCAGCGCCCGTGGCAGCTCCCGTCCGTGGCTGCCCGTGTGACTGCGAAGCGACAGGCTGGCCGGCCTCGGTGCTGCTCGCTGTCGCGCTGGACCAGCTGACCGTGGGCTCCACCTCGTGGGGCGCTGCTTCTTCGGCGCCGCGAGGGGGATCACCTGCTGTGCTGACCACCGGCCACTTCCTCTAGGACCCTCACTCTTCCTGCAGGAGCTCGCGGTGTCCTCGAGGGCAACTCCTGCTGTCGGCGACCCTCTCTCTCGATGTCGGCCGCCGCGTCTGGGCGCTCCTCGATCGTGACGAGGCAGTATGGCACGAACCGCTGGTCTTGCGTCGGACCGCGGACGGCAAAATGGCCCTCGCCCCCAACGGCGACGCGTACGAGGCACATCGCGTGGATTACGAGGATGCGCTGGCCAGCGGTTGCGCTGGCGGTGTGCCCCAGCGCCTCTCTGGGCACGCAGGGGCTGCGCTAACTACGCTCTCCGCGCCCAGAGCAGACGCGGCGGGGCAGCGCCTTCCGCCGCAGGGCCGAGGCCTGCCTCGCCGGCCAGGCGGAGGCCCCACCCGCGGCGGCCGATCCAATGGGCGCCATCCCCATGGGTGATCTCCCCGCTGCTCCTCTTCCTGTTCCTGCTGCCCACTGTGCCATGGTGGCTCCTTTGCAAGTACGTCGGCTACGGCACCGCCTGGTTCCGAGGCTTTGCCTCCTCCCGGCCTCGTTCTGAGGCTGCGCCCCCCTTTTCCTCCCCCATCTCTGGTTAATTCAAGCTTCGCGCAGCCCGCTTAGCTTCGACCAGAAGAGGTGCGCTCTCGACCCGCGAATCAAAGAAAACTGTTCCTGCTGCCCACTGTGCCATGGTGGCCGCCTCCTCTGACGACCCGAGCTTCTACGCCCAAGGTACTTTGGCGGCGCAGTGCTGCCTGATCGGCTCGAGGTGGCTCCTTGGGGAGTCCGTGGGCGACTACAGGCGCGGCGATGGCATCGAGGTCAAGAGCTCCGACGTCGCCTTCGGCACTTCGGCTCAGGCGCTCCTGTGCCGCCGTGACGGGGCGTGGTACCGCATCTGCCAGGACCTGCCGACGCCTTCCCCTCGTGACCTGCAGCTGGCTGATGGCGAGGTGGACAATCCGCACACTGGCCGTCGCCGCCGTCGCCTACAACGCTCGTGGTGACCGCACTCGCAGCTTCGACTCAGCGCGCGCACTCCTGCGAGAAGAGCCCGTGGACGACGCCTGGCCCATCGAGGGCCCTCGCATTGTGCAGTGGCTGGCGGAGGCCTTCGCCAGCAGTGGCATGGCTCCGGCGCCCCGTCATCATTGGTGGCGTCAGGCGCTGGGCGCCACCACGGCGGACCTTGGCATTGACGAGCACTTGTTCCTCTCTGAGGCGCTGCAGCAGGGACTGCAGCACGACCAGCTCAACATCCGCAATTTCGATTGCTTCGAGGCCATCGCCCGCAGGTGCCAGCTCTGGGAGAAGAGGTACCAGGAACGCGTACGTGCTTTAACGGAGGGCTCATGGGCTGCTGGCTTGGCGGCCAGACGGCACATCTTCCTGGACGGGGGGAGGGCCAAGGGCTACGCTCTGGTGTCGCCTGACCTGGAGCGCCGGGTGGCCATGCGCATGGAGGAGCAGGCCGCGGTGCTCAAGGAGCGTCGCAAAGGCAGAGAGGAGCGGGCACTGGCAGCACATGCGAAGAAGTCGACTCGCGTGCTGGCGCACGAGGACAATAATAACCCGAAGGGCAAGGCGAAGGACGGCAAAACTGGTAACCCGGGCAGTGGCTCGGGGGGCCAAGGCTGACGTTCGTCTTCGCCAATCTACCTTGCTGCGTGCAGCCCCCGCCTTGGCGTCGCTTGTATATTTGAGGAGGTGGCTGAGCGGCCGTGCCGCTACTATGCCGCCAGGTCTCGCGGCGGATCCCAGGGACCTGCTGCCGTTGCCGCCCGCCGAACTGCTGGACTGCCCTCGTCGCGACGGGCCAGTTCAAGAGCGGTGCCGGCGTAGTTTGCAGACCCTCCATGAGATGGGAGGGCGCGGACTGTCTCGGCTGGCCAGGCCTGCGTCTGGCATCCGCGCTGAGGCCGTGGAGAGGCTTCACTTCGCCCAAGACTCCGAGCCCAGCTGCCCGTCGGACCTGACCGCCGAGTCGGCCACCCTGGCCGTCGTTGGCTCCGATCCTGGCTACGCCTTCGATGACGTGGTCAGCAGGGAGTGTGCCGCCTATCGGCGCGGGAAGGTCTCGCTCTCGCGCGTGGTCTCGGGGGGCGCGCCTGGCAGACGCGCTTCCCCCATCGGCCTGCTCTTCGCTGGTGGGTGAGACTGGGGCCGTGCTAATCAGAGGCGCCACGACCTCTTGTTTCGATTTCTGTGCGTAATTAGCTTTTGGCAGAAAGCTTGCTCGCAGCCCCGACAGCTACGGGAAGCTCGTAGCATGCCTATAAGAGCGCGACGCGCTGGAGGTCGGCGCCCCCTTTTCGCAGGTGGCCCCGCTCTTCGTCTACAAGAAGGACTCCGCCCTTCGGCTGATCTTCGGCACCCGGGGCTCCAGCGCCTCGTTCGCGGACCCCGACTGCGCCCCTTTGGCGTTGGCGGCGGCCCAGCCCTTCAGCTCTGTGGAGCTGCAGGAGGGCGAGCGCCTGCACGTTGTCCAGGGCGATGCCACCTTCTGCTTCTACCAGTTCATGCTGCCCGAACAAGGCTTTCGGGCTGCCAGCGGCGCCTCGGTCGGCCGCCCCCGCGGCAGCCCGTCGCCGCGTCGGCCCTTATCCCTTGGATGGGATGGTGCGCTTCCTACATCGAGTGGCGCCCATGGGCGGGTCATGGGCCGTCCGCAACATCCAGCAGGCGATGCGCCGCAGCCTGGAGCCTTGCCTCGCGAGGGACCGTCTCCTGGCGCAGTGCGTGCCTCGGGCACCAGTCGGGCCTGGCAATGGCGTCTCGCTGATTTACATCGACAACTTCGGCCCTGGCGACGACGCAGGAGGATGCCGACTCGCGCCTGCAGGACATGCTCTCCGCGGTGGCCGAAGCGGGCATCGACGCGGGGCCAGACCTCGGGCTCGCCACTGCTGGGCTTCGAGCTGAACGCCTCGGGCACCCAGTGGCGCCCCGCGGCTCGCGAGTTCTGGAAGGTGGCGCTGGCCCTTCGCCCCCTTGGCCGGGGCCGCGCTCGCCGCGCTGGGCGTCGGGTCGCCAGCCTGGCGGGCCATGCGTCGGCCATCCTGCTGCTGCGGCCCGAGGTGCTGTCCATCTTCTCCGCGGCCTACGTCTTCTCCGGTCGCGGCTTCACGTAGCCAGCCCGCGCGTGGGCGGCCTGGGCGCTCCTGCCGCTGGCTTTTTTCGACATGAGCCCGCCGTGGTGCAACTCCGTCTCGTCGGTGGACGCGACGGTGCACGGCTCTGGCGTCGCCGAGATGGGCTGGGGCCCCGCTGCCGCCTGCGCGACGGGTCGGGCCCCGGAGCGCGGGCGCAACCGAGGGGCGTCGCGCGCGCCGCGCCGCCCGCGCCACTTCGTGGAGAGCGATGGCGCCGAGCCCTCCTGGACCGACGTCGTCGAGGCCTGGGGCGAGCAGCTGCGGGCGATGGAGCTTCGGGCTGCCGTCGAGGAGGCGCCCGCTGAGTTGGCGCGCGGCTCCGATCGGCGAGTCGCGGCAGCTCGGCGGCGGCGGCGCGAGCGCGAGAGCCCGGCGCTTGAGGCCGAGGCGGCCCTCTGGCAAGTGAGGCGCCTTTGCGCGGTCTCGCCGCAGCGCCGACAAGCGCCACCTCGCGCTGTCAGATTACATGGATCGGGTCCTCGCGGCCTTCAGGGCGGAGTTCCGCCTGGTACCTACTGCGCAGGTGCCGCGAATTTTGCGCAACGATCTTATCATCCGGAGTTCGAGTGGCCTTTCGTTGGATTCTGTCAGAGTGGAGCAGCCGACGAGCAGAGATGAAAGCATGACCTATCGTCGTCTCATCACGGTCGTCACATTCATCGCGCACTTCCCCCAGCTGCTGACCAGCTTCCGCATCGGCTGCCGCCTGGGCTCGAGGACGCCGCGAGCGACGGCTTCCCCTCGCGTCCGAGCGCGTTCGCCGAGGCATGGCTGCGCGGGCCTGCTGGCTCCTGGGCCTCGGGGGGCAGCTGGCAGCTGGTCGGGCCCGCCGATGCGCCTTTGCGGGGGGCGCCTGCAGGCCCGACCGAGCGTCGGCGCCTGGCTCGGCGTCGGCTCCCGTCGGAGTCCCTGGCGGCGCCCGTGCCGGAGCCGCTGCGGCGCTTCCCCGGCGGCGCCCCGCGCCCGGACCGGCGCGGCCTCCCGCGCCGCCCGCGGCGCCCGCGAAGAGTTCCCGCCAAATCGCCTGGGCTGCCTCGGGCCGCGGCCGACGCAGGGCTAGGGGCCGGGGCCGCGGGCTGCATGGGGTCGGGGCCGGAGCCTGGCTCGGGGCCGGAATCGGGAGCCTGGCTCGGGGCTGGGATCGGGGCCGTGGCGCTGTGCCGCGGCGAGACGGGCGAGGGGCGCCGGATGCCGGGCGGCCGCCCGTCGGCGCCCTGGTCCGGCCCTGAACGAAGCCGGGCGCCGCGCCCAGGCCACGGAAGCCTTGGGCTTCCACGTCGGCCCCCTCGCCGCGGCCGCCGCGGCGCCGACCGCCTGGGGGGGCCGCCCGACGACGGCGCTGCGTCGGCTGCTGGCCCGGCGGCGCACGCCGGAGGCCCCGCGGCTGTTCGCGAGCGAGCGGGGCCTGACGCTGGAGCAGTACGTGGAGTTCTTGCACGACCGCGGGCTGCCAGAGGGGGTCTCCGCCAATGCCGTGGCGGCGGCGCGGCGGGCGCTGCCGATGCGGCCCCGCCCCCCGCGCCGCGGGCTTCTTCTGGTCGCGGGCGGCCGCGGTGACAGGCTGGCGCAGGTTGGAGAAGCCGCTGTCGAGGCCCCCCGCCCCGCGGGCGGCGGCTGCGCTGATGGCGCTGCGGCTGCGCCCCCAGCGCATGGAGGACATGGCCCGCTGCCTGCTGCTGACGCTCGAGACGCGCGCGCGGCCCAGCGAGGCCCTCGGCCCCCAGCTGATCCCGCCCGTGCCGGGCGAGGTGGGGGCCCGCCGCTTCTGGGCGACCCTGGCCCGCGCGAGCGAGCTCGACGTGCTCGGCAAGACAGACGAGTTCGACAACGGCGTCGCGCTCGACTTGCCTCGCCACTAGCTCCTGGAGCCTGCGCTGCGTCGTCTCAAAGCTGCGCGGGCGGACCGCGCGCGCTTGTTCTTCTTTAGCTACGTGGGCCTCCTCCTGGCCTGGAACCGCTGCCTCGAGCGGCGCGGCGGGGCCTCCGATGACAGAGCCTTTCTGGGGGTGGCGCTCCTTCCAGAGCGCGCGGCGCCGCGAGAAGCCCGCGGCGCAGCGCCGCGATGCGCCCGGGCCCCGGGCGCCTGCGAGCGGAGGCGCGGCGTCGCGAGCCCGAGCTGGTCTGGCTCTTGCTGCCGAAGCATCGCATCTTCTTGGATCTCCTTGTGGGGGCGGCGCCTGTCTCCAAATGCCTCTGCGTCGAGGGTTGCGGCTGCCTCGCCTTCGACGAAACGCCCGGGCCCAGCTCCGACCTCGGTGGGGGGGGGGGCGTTCAGGCCACGATCGCGGGCTGGATGCGGGCGGGCTTGGCCCGAGGTATCTCGTTCGCCGCGCCTTGCATCACCGCTGCAAGGGCTCGAGCTGACACCGCCGGCCGTATGCCCCCGCCACTCCGTTCATCGCAGCACTACCAGGCTTGTCAGATCGCTACAGAGACCAAATTCGGGATGAGCAATATGATTGACATGGGTGGTGGCATCCAGCAACTTGCTTGGAAGCTCGGCATCTCATGTGGCGAAGAGAACCCTCAGACTCTCATCCTTCGGCGTTTTCCCTCTCGCCGTAAAGCGCTCTCGCGCGGTGCCGCCGTAAATGTGGATTTTTGTTCAGGGGGTGACCCCATCTGCAAGAGGACCAAGCTTGTTTTCCAATACTGTGGTTCGCCCTCAGGATCTCACTTGAAATGTCATGGCCGTGGAGGCCTTTGCTCGTTTATTCAAAGTAAGCACGTGCACATCCGTAGTAAGCTCGGATGTAGATCGCCATCTAAGGCGTCTGAACCTTATCCGTCGGTTATAAGTCAATTTGTCGGCGATGCGCTCATTCATGTGATACATCGCCGTGCTGTGGCCTCTGTCAGCTCGTTGTAATTCGCCGGCGGGCCAGTCTACGGCGTGTGTTCGGGATTTCCGTCTTTCCGCACGCTCGTGTGCACCGTATGCCGCTTGCCGTTCGCATGAGGTCACAGTCCAACACGTTGACAACCCAGCGCCGTGCGTGGACTGACTAAACAAACCTGGCGTAGGGAAAGCCATGCGAATGTCAATGGTCATGTTGACGACCGCCGCTGCTTCTGACCCCCTCAAGCCTTTTTCTGTCCAGCCCTCGCCTCGACAGAACCTTGTTGTGCATTTCCGTCTTGCGGTACGGTCGTGTATACCGTATGCTGCCTGCTGTTAGCATGAGGTCACATTTCAACACCCAGCGCCGTGCATTGACTAAACAAACTTAGTTTACGGAGAGTCATCATCGTAGTCGTCGTCGTCGTCGTCGTCGTCGTCGTCGTCGTCGTCGTAGTCGTTGTCCTCGTCGTTGCCGTCGGTCGCCGTGGCCGTAGTCATTTTGGTGTTGGTGGTGGTGGTGGTGGTCGTCGTCGTTGTCGTCGTTGTCGTCGTCGTAGTCGGATTTGGGGTTGGAGGATGAGGAACAGGAGGAGGCGCAGGAAGAGGAGGAGGAGCAGGAGGAGGAGGAGGAGGCGCAGGAAACGGAGGAAGAGGAGGAGAAGGAGGAGGAGGAGGAGGAGGAGGAAGAGGAGGATACAGGAGGAATGAGGAGAAGGGAGGAGGACGAAGAGGGAGGCATGACGGCATGTGGGAGGAGGTTGGTTGGTGGTGGTGGTGGTGTTGGTGGTGGTGGTGAAGAGGAGGAGGAGGAGAAGGAGGAGGAGGAGAAGGAGGAGGAGGAGCAGGAGGAGGAGAAGGATGGGAGCGTTATGTGAACGAGGGAGGTAAAAAGGCTCAGCGGCAGAAGAAGCATTGGGAGCATGATGAACGGGGAAGCGGGAGAGGATAATCTTTTTATTGTTCCTCCTCCGCCTTTTCCTGCTGCTCCCAATCCTGCCCCTGCTGCTGCTGCTGCTGTTGCTCCTCGTCCTGCTCCTCCTGACCCACCCCCTCCTCTCTGCTCCACTTGCTGATACTTTTGCTCTTCCCTCTACTTGAGACTGACTGGAGCCGTGCATCCCTGGCGGGCGATTGGGCAAATTGAGCGAAAGAAGATTCAACGGAATGTACAAGTACAGCCGGACCGAGATATAAGATCGAGGACGTTTCGGGGAGGGTGCTCTCGTGTTCTTTGTGTTCGTTGGCTGTTCTTCTGCATCGTGGGGAGGGTACCCTTGGATGTTCTGTTTGTTTTGGCCGGCGGAGTGTCTCATGTTCTTGAGGGATGTTCTTCTGGCCTAGGTCCGACTGTTCACAGGCTCGGGAAGAAGAAGAAGGAGGGAGGGGGGCAGAGGTGCAATTTACAAAAGCTTGTAAATTGACGTCGCTACTGACGTCTGGGGCGGCCCTGGCGCCTGTGGAGGACCCAATTCTTTGGGGCACCGTCGGCCACGCACACTAGTTGTTTAACTAGCCAGGCGTCGCTACGCGATCCTGAGATGTTTGACGCAAGCTCTTGCAGTGGAAGGCGTCCAACCTGTCGTGGCTCCTTGAAAGGAGGAGGGGTAATGAGTAGAAGGAGGCTGGTGTCCAAAACAAAAAAGGCGTGTGCGTGGGGGGGGGTGCCCACTTTCCGCCCTTTTGAAGAGTTTTCCTAGCCTCCCCCGAAGACGCAGGAAAAAACCTCTCAGAAGGCAGGAAGGCTTCTGAGGAGCTCCGCTGACTTCTGAGGAGGCCTTCTCCTTCTCACTTCCCCCCCCTGCTCCTGCTCCTCCTCCTGCTGCTGCTCCTCCTCCTCCGCCTCCTCCTCCTCCTCCTCCTCCTCCTCCTCCTCCTCCTCCTCCCTCCTCGCTCGCCTCCCAGCCGAGGGCCGCCGAATGTCGCCGATGGCCGCTGGTGGCCGCCGAAGTAGCCGCCCAAGTGGCCGCCCAGTGGCCGCCCGGCGCGTGCCCGCCGTCGGCGGGCGCTGCGTGCCTGCGCCTCCCGCCTCCGTGCGAGGTGGCGGGCCAAGTACGGCTTCTACTTGCACTGCTTCGACGGCGGGGGGGAGGGCGCGCGGGGCGCAGGAGGAGGAGGGCGGCCGGGGGGAGGGCGCGCGGGGAGGAGGAGGAGGAGGAGGAGGAGGAGGAGGAGGAGGAGGAGGAGGAGGAGGAGGAGGAGGAGGAGGAGGAGGAGGAGGAGGAGGAGGAGGAGGAGGAGTGAGGAGGAGGCGGAGGAGGAGGGGGCGGCGGGCGGAGAGCGGAGGGCGGAGAGCGGAGGGAGGGGCGAGATGAGAAGACTAGAATTGACAATGGGTGGGGAGAAGGAAGATGGATGGGGGAGTGGGGAGGACGGTGAGGAAGGAGAAGGAGGAGGAGGAGAAGGAGGAGGAGGAGGAGAAGGAGGAGGAGGCGAAAGGAAACGGGCGAAGGTGGGGAGGAGAGGGAGGAGGGGAGGGAGAGGAGGAGAAGGAGGAGGAGAAGGAGGTCGGAGGAGGAGGAGGAGGAGGAGGACGAGAGTTGTGTGTGTATGTGTGTGAACGAGGACCCTTTGCCCCGGCACTGTCCTGGAGGGTCACAGTGGGGGACGGGTCGCCGCGGGTGCGTTGTGAGAGCAGCCTCCAGGCCAGGGATGCTTTCCTTCACTGGCCAGCTGCTACGCGTCGCAGTCCCTTGTCTTCGCCGTGACGGATATCGTTATGGACCAGAACATTCGCGGGGGCAGTGGTTCAGTCTAGTGGCTTTCGGCTCATCCCAGCACCGTGACACAGCAGCAGTTCCATCCTGGCAGTGACCGTCACAACACACCGCACTTGACAGCTTGTCCTGCGTACGCCTCGGACGCGTGGGTTGAGCGGGTCGGAGCCGACGACATCCCGATCGACAAGATCTCCAGTGGCGACGCATCGGACCTGCAATGTACATTTAGCGCTGGAGGAGATGCAAGCCCGTACGGCCAGCCTTCAACGCCTGAAACCTCGCCGTCGAGGAGGAGCGACACGTACCAGGAGACAGCGAAGCGGGAAGCGCCGTGAGGTGAAAGTGGGGGAGGAGGAGGCGGAGAAGGAGGAGGAGGAGGACGAGGAGGAGGAGGAGGAGGAGGAGGAGGAGGAGGAGGAGGAGGAGGGGGAGGAGGGGGAGGAGGAGGAGAAGGAGGAGGAGGAGGAGGAGGAGGAGGAGGAGAAGATTAGTCGACGCGCGGGTTTCTCGAACACGCGCGGGTCGAAAGCCGCACGCCCCCGCGGTGCCAGGGACTGGAGCGGGTCTCTCCTCTCCAGGGGCCGGGCCCGCCGTCTCTGACGCTGCAGTGCCTGTGTGTAAAAAAGCAGCACGGCCCTCACCTGGATGGTTACGATAATGTTGTCGTTGACGATGACGACGATGATGCTGCTGATGATGACGTTGCTGCTGCTGATGATGATGCTGATGATGATGCTGGTGATGATGCTGCTGATGATGCTGATGCTGATGATGCTGATGATGATGATGATGCTGCTGATGATGATGATGACGATAACGACGACGGCGACGACGACGACGATATGCTTGCTATTGCTGCTGATGATGGTGAGGACGACCAGTAGGACGAAAAGGAGAAGGAGGAGGAGAGGAATGATGATGATGATGATGATGATGATGATGATGATGATGATGATGATGATGATGATGATGATGATGATGATGATGATGATGATGATGATGATGATGATGATGATGATGATGATGATGATGATGATGATGATGATGATGATGATGATGATGATGATGAGGAGGAGGAGGAGGAGGAGGAGGAGGAGGAGGAGGAGGAGGGGAAGAGGAGGAGGGGAAGGAGAGGAAGGAACGGAGGAGGAGGACGAGGTGGCAGAGGGCGGGGAGAGGGGAGGGCGAGGGAGAGAGGGATTTTGAGGGAGGGGGAGGAGGACTAGGAGCAGGCCTGACGGTGGGGTTCGGGGGAGACCCGACGGAATGTCAGGGGGGAGTTTCGAGGGCAAGCGAAGGAAGCGGTGCGACGCGCGCAGGTCTGCCGCCAATCCTGTACCAGGTTAGGCAGATCAAGCAGTTCTTCCCAGGGTCTTCTGCTTTGCGAGGAGGAAGAGGAGCAGCAGAAGGAGACGAAGGATGAAGAGGAGGAGGAGGAGGAGGAGGAGGAGGAAGAAGAAGAAGAAGAAGAGGAGGCAGGGGTCGACCTAAACGATGTTTGGGCGACTTCGTGGGCCGTTTTCACAACGACTTCGTTGTGCGGTCAGGCTGCCCCTGGAGACAGCACGAGGGAAAAACAGAAAAACACTGCTTCGGTCGAGCCCTGGGAGGAGGCCTTCGCCTTCCCCCCTCCTCCCCCGTCCTCCTCCTCCCCCTCTTCTTGCCCTTCCCCTCTGCTCCTGGAGAGCATTGGATGGATCCCCCTCCCTCCCTCGCCTCCAAGAGACGGGGGCCGCCGACGCCGTCCTCGGCGGCGGTCGTGCCTTGGGGCACCGGGAAGCCACCGGGACAGCGGCACTTCCTCCCATTCCCTTCCCCAGTTCACCTCCCCCCCCCCCCGCCATTCCCTCCCTTCACGAGCCAGAGGCCGCATCCCGGTCTGGTCAATATTCCTCGCTTTGCGAATTGACCATCTCCAGTCCCATGCCAATCCCCCCCCCTCCCCCCAGGGCTCGTTTCGGCTCCTCAGGCTCGCTTCCGTTCGACTTCGATGGCTTCCGGTTCCGATTCGGTTCGACTCGGGACTCCGATCCGGACTCCGATGGCTCCCTGAAGGTCTACACTGGCCTGCCGATTTCTGCCGATTCGACTTCTCCCGACTCGGCCGCCGACTCGCGCCGGTTCGATTTGTTTCGGTCGCCGACCCCAAGGAAAACAACACAGAAAATCAAAACAGACGAACAAGAAGAAAGGATCGATCGCCGATGCGACTTCTCGATTCGACTCTGGCCTTTGCCCCCCCCCCCGGCCCCCCGCGGGCTCCCCCCCCCCCCGGCCCCCCGCGGGAGTGCGCCTGCGGTGCCCGGGGGCACTGCCCAGTGGCGGCGGACGTGGGCCACGGCGGCCCCGAGAGGGGCGCACTGGGAGGACGGCCGCGGGCGGCGTGCCTGCGATGCCTCATCGGCGGCGAGCGAGGGGGGGGGGAAGCGAGAAGGAGAGGGCCTTCTCAGAAGGCGGCGGGAGGAGGAGGAGGAGGAGGAGGAGGAGGAGGAGGAGGAGGAGGAGGAGGAGGAGGAGGAGGAGGAGGAGGAGGAGGAGGAGGAGGAGGAGGAGAAGGCGGAGGAGGAGAGGAGGGCAGGGAGGGGGGGAGGTGAGAAGGAGAAGGCCTTTCAGAAGGAGGAGGAGGAGGAGGAGGAGGAGGAGGAGGAGGAGGAGAGGAGGAGGAGGAGGGAGGGAGGGGGGGGGTTGAGAAGGAGAAGGCCTTCTCAGAAGGCGGCGGGAGGAGGAGGAGGGGAGGAGGAGGAGGAGGAGGAGGAGGAGGAGGAGGAGGAGGAGGAGGAGGAGGAAGGAGCAGGAGCAGGGAGGGGGGGAGGTGAGAATGAGAAGGCCTTCTCAGAAGGCGGGAGGAGGAGGAGGAGGAGGAGGAGGAGGGAGGAGGAGGAGGAGGAGGAGGAGGAGGAGGAGGAGGAGGAGGAGGAGGAGGATGAGGAGCAGGAGCAGGAGCAGGAGCAGGGAGGGGGGGAGGTGAGAAGAGAAGGCCTTCTCAGAAGGCGGCGGAGGAGGAGGAGGAGGAGGAGGAGGGAGGAGGAGGAGGAGGAGGAGGAGGAGGAGGGGAGGAGGAGGAGGAGGAGGAGGAGGGAGGACGGTCCTCTTCCCCCTCCTCTCCCTCCTCCTCCTCTTTTTCCTCCTCCTCTTTCCTCCTCCTCCTCCTCCTCTTCCTCCTCTTCCTCGTCCCGCGGGAAGGGGCCGGGACTCCGGGGATCGTGAACGTCGCACGTCTGGGGGTCTTAGCTGCCTCGATGCGCCCGTGTCGAGACGCAGCGCGTCCCGTGTTCAAGGGGTCCGTGTCGATACGTGGCGTGTCGGCTCCACGTATTGAGCCACGTTTTGGCGGATGCATCGCGTCGGACCTGCGTTTCCAGCCTACGTGTTGCGTGTTGCGTGTTGCGTGTTGCGTGTTGCGTGTTGCGTATCGGGGCAGCTAAGCTGGGGACTCCTCTTCCTACCCCCCCCTCTCTGGGCCTCCCCGGTGGAGTCGAAGCAGACGGGGCCGGAGCGTCGCTCCGCATCGCCGAGGCGTCGCCGATGCAGTCCGATGTGGACCCCGATCTGCTCGACGTCGGTGCCGCCCATGCGTGGCCGATACTTCGCCGATACATCGCCCACGCATCGGCGATGTGCCGGCGACGCATCGGCGATGCAGCGCGATCCTCCGACCCCACCTGCTCGGACCCCATCTGGGAGGCCTCTACAGCCCCGCCCCCGAGGGTCGACGGAGGGGACGCCCCTTGCTCGGCGGAGGGCCTGGCGTCGTGCCCGCGTCCGCGGCTTCGGGGTCCGGGCTCCGCGGGCGCGGCGCGGCGAAGAGGCGGGGCGGCGCTGCGCGGACTCCCCGCGCGGAGTGTGTCGATGGGGCTGCGCACCTGTGGGATCGCGCCTTGCCTGCGAGGGCACGGATGTTCAGTATCGTTCCACCGATCCCCACCATCCCCATCCCCATCCACATCTCGAGCCCCACCGTCCCACCACCTCAGGTGGGGATGTGCCCCTCGAAACCCGAAGAGAGCAGCCTACATCCCCATCATGGAGGTTATTCAATTGACCAGTGGGGCCCACCCCACGCTGGTGGGGATGGGGATCGGTTAAACGATACTCAGATATGGTTGTGTTCGTCGCTCGTGAGGAACACCGCTCCCGGTCGTGGCCCGAACTGCCAGGTCGCCCATCTACATCATGAGCGACGGGGGGGAGGACTACAGCGAGCTCTGCAGGCAGTACGGGTGTCAGTTCGAGCTCTGCCCACCTGCAAACGACAGGCGGCCCCCCTCGCTATCTCTTTGTTCATATACTGATGTATGCTCATACGCATGTATGCCCCCATTCTCCAACGCGCAATTGTATCCTCTCGCTCTGCCCTATGCCTGTGGCCGTTCGGGCTCAGGCGCTCGCCCCATTTAATACAACGGTTCGGCGCAGATGATGGCTTTTGGTCCGTGCGCTTTCGACGCCGCGCGGTGTCGGGTCTACAGGGTGCTCTCAATGGCCCGCACCTGCCACTGCAGGCGGACGAAACCGAGTTCGAGGGAACGCTAGTGCAGGTGGCGGCGGCCGCGGACCTCAGCCGTGGACAAGGCAGTCGCTGAGGAGCCTGTGCAGAAGCGGCCGAGGGCGTTCCACGGCTGCCCTGAGCGGGCCATGCTGGAGGACGCCGCGGGGTACCTCAGGGTGGCGGTCAGCCGAGGAGCGTCCGAAGCCCCGCCGCCGCTGGGGGCCCGTGCGATGTCGTGGGCCCGCTTCGCTCGGAGATGCCGCGCAGCTGCATAAGCAAGCCGCCGCTGATTTGGAGGCGCGGGAGTGGGCTCGGTGGAGGCCTCGCTTGGTCGCGCCGCTCGAGGAGATGGGAGCACCCTCGCCTGAAACGGCGCGGCCCTGTACGGACCTGGAGCGGGCGAAGGACGGCGTCGCGGGCCGCACGCGCATCGTCATGGTGAGGTCGCACGTGCGGGCCACGGACACGATGCGCGGGTGGCCTTTGCGCGCGCGCGGGGCCCCGTGGCCCGTGACGGTCGTGCCCTCCATGGACGACGTGCGTGCCAGGGCCGTCATGGTCCAGACAGAGCACGCGCCATGGTGCACACAGAGTGCGCGCCATCGTGCAGGACGGTGCCCGGCCAAGCCCTGCGCGCCATGTTGTGTACGGAGCGCGTGGCATGCGTGGATCAGAACGACAGATTCTCCGTCCGTCCCGAGGCCCAGCAGGTCGTCGCGACCGCGGAGATGCTCTTCGGTGCGGGCAAGGATCCGGCGCCGAGGGCAGCACAGCCTCCCAGCGTGTTCATCGGGGCCCTGGCGCGGATGGTCATGGACCAGGACTTCGCGCGGTACCTACGCGAGGTGGCGTGTTTCCGCCTCGCCAATGTGTGGGCGATGCGGCGCTACGACGACCACAGCTGGCTCCCGCAACGGCGCCTCGCCTTCGTGGACGGGGGGCTGGCGGCCACGCTGGGGCGCACGAAGACTCGCTGGGCGGCGGGGCCGAGGGTTGGAGAGCACCGGGGGCGGGCGGGGAGGACCAGAAGGGCCGCGCTCGGCACAGGCCGCCCAGGGAAGTTACAGCTTCCCCCGGCGGCCGTGGGCAAGGCAGCTGCGCAGCCACGACAAGCGACGCCGATGGGCCCCGCTCCCCGTCCTCAGGGGGCGAGCGCCCCGCTCGGGCCGCGCCCACCTCCCCGCGCCTTCGCTGTTGCCCACCTCCTCTTGCGCCATCCCTCCTCCGCGCTCCGCCACCTGCGTGCGCCCATTGTCGCCGCCCAGCGCCCACGTTCGCTCCCCCTTCCCCTGTCCGCACCTCCTCTCCGGCTGCGCCGCGCCGCTCCGCGCCTGCAGCACGCGCCCCTTCCCCGCCCCCGGACGGGACAGGACTGCTGTAGGAGAGGGAGGCCCCCGCTCCAGGCTCCAGGTGAGGCGTGCTGAGGCGGGTCTCCCGGCTCCCCCCAGGGGGCTGGGGCCCGCCCGCGCGCCCGGGCTGCACCTCGCGCGCCGCGCCGCCTCAGACAGCCTCGCCCCCCCTCCCTCCCATGCGGTGCTTGACCATCTTTTGGCGTCATCGCCGTTCGGCATCCTTTCTCCTTGTCCTCACTTTAGTTTTTGGTGTAAGTCGGGCGTGTCCTTCTGCAGGAGGATTATCCCCAAATCGCCAAAACACCACACGGTAACGATGTGTCTTTCTCTTGCGGCTACTTTTTGACGTTTGGATTCTTCGCTTCCTCCCAAAACCCACCTATAAGGTGACATGCCCGACCCAACTCTTGGGCCTGTTACTAACCCCCCCCCACCAGCTCTCCGGTGCGTGGATCGAGGGCCGCTGCCACGGTGGAAACAAAGGCCCGCAGGTCGAAGCCCGCCGGGGGAGCGGGAGGGGCCGGGGAGGGGGGAGGACACGTCGTTTCAGAGCGTCCCAGAGCGCTCCCAGAACGTTCCAGGGCGCTCTGCCACGGCCGCGGCGCCCCACGCGTCCCCCAGAGCCGCCGGACTTCGGAGATCTCTGGCCGCGTCCTGGCCCGACGTTGCCTCTGCCCTGGCCTCGTCTTTACGGCGTTGCCGCGTCGTGGGCCCCGCGAGCGTTGGCTCGACTCGGCATGGGCCCCGCCGTAGGTTCTTGGATGATTGGGACCTCTCAGGGCGATCCCCAGGGCCTCTTACAAGGCTCAGCCCGTTCCCAGAGAGACCAAATACGGTCTCCTAGGGCCATCGTGCGGCGATTTGGGATCGTTGAACCCGAACGATGCTTCCAGGGTCTTGGGGGAATTCATGCGCCACGCCGCGGAAGCGCCCGACAGCGCCCATGCAGGCAAGGACGTCGGGGGGTCCAGGCCTTCGAAGTGTTTGCAACAATCCGTCCTGAGGACTCTCATGGGGCTGAGGACGCTCCACGGTGTGTCAGGGCACGGCAGTGGATATTCAACGTATGTGCGGCACGCGTGCAGTTGCCCTAACTCACTTTCTCGTGCGGTTTCTTTTTAGCATGCCAGCATCCATACAACGCTAACTATGATCTTGAAGCCATGCCTATGGACGCCTGTCACCTGTCAGTCCTTTCCAAGCGCCGTTCAAGCCGCCCAGGTGGAACCCTTGGCCATTTATCCGCCGGTTCTACGACGCTACCGTCGCTCTGAATTCGGAGTGACCTTCTTGCACTTGTCGCCGTCTATGTTCCTCGTCTTTCCCGCTCCCTTCTCTTACCACAGTTACAAGTTACCAATTCTTTCTCCTGGAAGTTAATTGTCGTCCTCGTCGGCCTCGTATGTTGATGCGCGTCCTTGTCTTTCCCATCATGGGCTCGATAGCGCCGCGTTCTTCAAGATAGTGCAAGCGATACTTTTATCGTGAGGAAGAAGATCGGCAGAAGGAGGAGGAAGAGGAGACGGAGCTTGGAGAAGGAGGAGGAGGAAGAGGAGGGGGAGACCCCAGTCCTTCAATAAGGCCGCCGAGAGGTGATCAGTTATCCCCCATTTGGGGGGTGCTTCTAAAGATCTTTCAGGCTTATCTTCATCATTCTCGTTGCCGTCACCACCCAGTAGTTGCGCACTCCTCATCGCCCTGTCCCTCGTTGTCGTTGCAGGCGGCCCCTGGGCGTTGCTGGCTGTTCCCCGCTGGGACATTGCAGTGGAGAGTCCCCATTCCCCCCATTCCACGATGCTGCATCTGATTTGTCCATGCGGATCCGATTTGCCCCTGCTGGTCGTGGTAGGTAGGTCCTCGGAGGTAACCAGCAGCCTCTCTGGATCAAGCAGTGGCGAAGCGTCTTGGCTCCTGGCTTGCCTATAGGCCCACCAAAGGATGTTCTAAGAACTTCTTTTGGTTTGCACGAAATGTTTGTCGAACGTGTCTGGCTGAGACTGTCCTTGTTTCACTACATCGGGTTTATGTCATAAGAGCTCTGTTTCAACTCTTAGCGCATCTTAAGGTTATACGAACATGTCGTGGTAATACCTATAGGAATACCGGGATGGCAAGTCCCTGCTCACCCCGATGTTCCCAGAGGACCCCCCCAGAGAGCCCGAGCGCGCCCAAGCTTCAGATCGACGTCGAGCGAGGGGGGGAAATGAACATGAAAAGGCCTTCTCAGAAGGCGGCGGGACTTCTCCGAAGCCCTCGCGCCTTCTGAGAAGTTTTCTGTATCTTCGGTGAGGACTTAGAAAACTGGTCAGAAGGCCGGGTGACTTTCGATCCTTCTGAAAAGGCACGCCCCCTCCCACTTCCCCCCCTCGCTCGCCGCCAAGAAAACTTTTGAGAAGCCTGGGCGAGCGCTCTCAATCTTCTGCCGTTGGGGAAGGACGAGCCCGCCCACTCCCCTTTACCAGGGGTCAAACGCGGCCGTGCCCTGGAGAGCTTGACGGGCCCTTCTGCGGACCAGCCTCGCTCGCGGCCGATCAGAACCCGTCCTCGCCGAACCGTTCCCGCGAAGACCGCCGAGGGGCGGCCTTCCCGCGACGACGACGACGACGACGACGACGACGACGACGACGACGACGACGACGACGACGACGACGACGACGACGACGGACGACGACGACGACGGACGACGGACGACGGACGACGGACGACGGGCGACGACGACGACGGCGATGCCGACGGCGACGACGACGGCGACGACGGCGACGGCGGCGGCATCGGCAGCGGTGGCGGCGGCGGTGACGGCCACGGCGGCGGCGAGCGACGGCACGGCGGTGGCGGCGGCCGTGCCTGCGAGCGGCGGCACGGCGGCGAGCGGCGGCAACGGCGGCGAGCGGCGACGGGACGGCGGCGGCCGCATCGGCGGCGGCGGCGTGCCCACCTCCAGAGCCTCGGCGGCCCCTCTGGGGGAACGAAGAATGACATAAACGGAAAAACTTGGAGGTCCGCGCGGATTTCTCGGATCCGCGCTGGGTCCCCCTCCCTGGCACGCGGAGCGCGCCAGGGGCGGCGCCGGAGGCGCCGCCAGGGGGGCCCAGCGCGGATCCGAGAAATCTGGGCGGACCTCCGAGTTTTTATGTTTATGTCATTCTTCGTTTCCCTACCCTTGCCCAGCTCCTCCCCCCCTCAGGTACGTTATCATGCTCGAGCCTGACAACACAATACACGGAGGGGGTTACGTCACCTGTGTGGAGCGCTTACGATCCCTATGTGAACCGTATACGACCCCTCTGCTAATCGTGTACGATGTCTGTGTGAATCGTATAAGGGGCCTCGTGTTAATCGCATACGAACGCAATGTGAATCGTCTACGATTCCAAGGTGCATGGCAGCCGACTCCCACGTGAAACGTACACGCCTGCAGTGTGAGTCGTGAACGAACCTTACTCCGAGTTCGTCAATAAGCGTGGGGGGGTCCCACCCGACTGGGGTCGACCTCGCCTCGTCGGCGCACCGTGACGGGGGTTGGAGCGCCTTCGGCGCGCGGCGGTTGCCCGCGACGGGGGTCGATGTGGGGCTGTCGGCCAGGGTGGCGCCCCCCCCCGCCCATTAACGAACTCGGAGCATGTGAATGGTATACGGTTGGGAGCAGAGGGTCCGAGGAGGAGCAGAAGGCCGAGGCCGTGGCTAGTCCTGGAGAAGGCCCCGTCGCCACAGCCGGAGCCTCCTCGGGGGGGAGTGCTGGTCGGCACGCTTCCCAGGGTGAGAGGTCCGCGGCGCAGCGGTGACGGCATGTTTTTTGGCCTGTCTGGCAGGAGGAGCAGGAATCACCGAGCGCGTTCCACTACTCGCAAAGATTATGATGTTCCAACTTAGTTTAGCCTTGATCACCAGGAAGAATGTCTAGCACCAAGAAAGTACCGAAACTTGAGGGTTTTCACGTGTCGGGCCCTGGGAGGCGGTACTCGTTCGACACTGTTTCGATACTTTTCTGGGCGCTCGAAATTATCTCTGGGATGTGGTCCTTAAGTACGCTGGGACTAACAGAACGCAAAGTGCCCAGTCGCAGGCATCCAGAACAAAAGCATGTCCTCCTCCAGGTGATGGGTCGTACGCCCCCCGCGGCAGATCCAGGTAATGTGCGAGTAGTTAGTTCTCGAGTAGTGGAACGCGCCTGTCTAAAGAAGGCCGAGCATCCAATTGTTGCAGACTCTGTAAGCCTCTTGGCCCCCCCCCCCCAGCGGAGACCCATAGAGACCGACGACCCCCACTGCAGAGGCCCCCCCCCCGCGGAGACCCCTAGAGACCGACGGCCCCCACTGCAGAACAGACCCCCCGCGGAGCTCTCCGGGGAAGGCGATGATGAGGATGAGGATGAGGAGGTTGAGGAGAATGAGGATGCAGATGAGGACGATGAAGATGAGGATCATCGATAATGATAAAGACGAGGGTAAGGTCGAGGATAGTGAGAAGGTTGGGGACGAGGGCGATGCGGATGATGATGCTGATGCTGATGTTGATGTTGTTGTTGATGTCGTCGCTATTGTTGTTACTGTTGAGGTTGTTGTTCTATCTGTTGCTGTTGGTGTTGCTGGTGATGTTGGTGTTGTCGTTGTTGTGGCTGTTCTTGTTGTTGTTGTTGTTGTTGGTGTTGTTGTTGTTGTTGTTGTTGTTGTTGTTGTTGTTGTTGTTGTTGTTGTCGCATTGTTGTTGTTGTTGCTGCTGCTGCTGCTGTTGTTGTTGTTGTTGTTGGTGTTGTTGTTGTTGTTGTTGTTGTTGTTGTTGTTGTTTTTGGTGTTGAATTATCATTTCTGAAGAATAATTATTGTTGATCCCCCCACCGCTGCATACGGTTTTTTCTCAGTCCAAGTGTGCCCCTCGATGCTCGCACCCTGTGTTTTGACAGGGAAAGTCTTCCTGCTCAAACTGGCCCCCTGGTCCCCGGGTTACATCAACGGCTCCCGCTTGAGACGTCCTTACAATTTAGGCAGGACCCCCGCTCCCGCCCGAGACTTCCTCTCGCATGTTATTTAGGAATCGCGCTCTCGCTTGGGACTTCCTTACAATTTATTCAGGAATCGCTCTCCTGGAGCTCTGGAGTCGCGCTCTCGCTGGAGACTTGCTTGCAACTTACTGAGGAATAGCCCTGCGTTGGAATTTCTTGTAATTTGCCCAAGCGCCGCGCTCCCGACACCCAGGCATCCAGGAGTCGCGCCCGTTGTGGCCCCATGTGCATGCCCTTTGTGGCCCCGCTGTCGCCATTTGTGTCCCCCTCATTGTCTTACGTGGCCCAGTTGCTACCCTCAGTGGCCCCATATTTGCCTTCTGTGGCCCAGCATTATCTGCACTTCGTGGCCCCCGCTCGTTCGCATTCTTCGTGGCCCCATACGCATTCCCTTCGTGTCCCCGCTGTCGCCCTTCGTGGCCTCCTTCGTGCCCTTCGTGGCCCTGCTGTCGTTCTCTCTCGCTCTCGCTTTCGCTCGTCGTCGCCGTCGTCTTCGACGTTGTCGTCGTCGTCGTCGTCGTCGTCGTCGTCGTCGTCGTGGTCGGTCCCCTGTCCGTCCCTCTTGGGGTCGGGTCGACGGTCCGCGCCCGCTCCGCCGATCAGCGCTGCCGCTGGCCAGGCCGACGGTCCGCGGCCGCCCTGCCGCTTGCCGGGGCCCGGCCTGCAGGGAAGAAAGGTATACCCCCAAAAAGGGGTTCGATCGAAGACGAAGAGGGCGGGTATCGAGGGTTGGGGAAATGCGCGTTATTGGACACTCGAGCATATAAGGGCGAACAGTCTTAAACTGATTGTTGTTGTTGTTGTTGTTGTTGTTGTTGTTGTTGTTGTTGTGGGTGTCGGTGTTTGGTGTGGTTGCGGCTGCTGCTGTTGTTGTTGCTGCTGCTGTTGATGTTGGTGTTGCTGTTGCTGGTCCTGTTGCTGTTGTGGTTGGTACTGTTGTTGTGGTTGTTGTTGATGATGGTGTTGTTGTTGTTGTTGTTGTTGTTGTTGTTGTTGTTGTTGTTGTTGTTGAACATTATTACTTCTAAAGAATAATTATTGTTGGGGCCCCTGGTGCGCGCCCCCCCCGCCGCGCCTAGGCCGCAGCCACGTTTTCATCATTTTCGTGAGGAAGTCTCAGGTAAAACGATGTCATCCAGATCCGGTTGTTTTGTTGACGCCCGCTTTCCCTTGCAAAAAATAAGCTAAAGTGGACATTTCTTGTTCTAACATAACCAAACTTCAAGAATCCCTTGCAAAAAATAAGGTAAAGTGGACATTCGCGCGCGCAAGACGAAATCCTTCCAAAACCTTAGTTTTCGTAGCGATTTTAACATAAAAACATCAAAAAACCAATGGTTTTTCAAAACAAAATTGTCAAACTTTCATCCCGCGCGCTCTTGCGGATTCGTAGGAAACCCAACACTTTTTAAACATTTCTGTCAAACGGGCTTTTGCGAGCAACTTTTTCGAACTTCTGCAACAACGGTTGCGCACCTGCCAGGGCCATCATCCCTGTCAAATAATACCATGCGGGACACATTCGTTTTTTCTTCGCGCGCGCACGCCGTCGTCGTCGGCCGCGGGGCCCTGAATAGTAGCCACGGTCGTCCGCATGCCACGAAGTGAAGTGTCCGAACGTCATAGGGCGGGAAGCTGGGTGTGGGTGGTGGCGAAGAGTCGTTTGGAAATTTGGTAGAGCTTGAACCGGCCCCCCCACAAAGTGGGGGTATTGCCCGCCTCCTATGAAAACCCTGGCACTGGTGAGAACGGAGTGTCCCCACGTGCTAGTAATTGTTGTTGTTGTTGTTGTTGTTGTTGTTGTTGTTGTTGTTGTTGTTGTTGTTGTCGTCGTGGTTGTTGTCGGTGTTTCTGTTGCTGCTGCTGCTGCTGTCGTTGTTGCTGGTAATGCTGCCTGTATTACTGATGATGCTGATTATGATGGCGGTGATCATGCTGATGATGATCATGCTGATGCTGATGGCGGTGATGCTGCTGCTGCTGCTGATAACGATGGTGGTGGCGGTAGTGATGATGGGGAGGAGGTGGACGGGGAGGAGGAGGAGGAGGAGGAGGAGGAGAAATGGGGAATAGTGCGGGCGCGTGCGAACACATCCACTGGGGCCTTCGTTGGAGCTCCCTATGCTATGAGGCAAGGAAACGTGTGAGCGGTGTACAGAATGGGTGGGCTGGGCGCGTGTGAGCGCAGCCAGTGGGGGCTTCGGTGGAGCTCCCTATTAGGCCACGAAGCGTGTGAGGGGTGTGCCGAGATTGGTGCGGCGGGCTTGTGCGAACGCAGCCATTGGGGCCTTCGGTGGAGCCCCCTGTGGGAAAACGAAGCGATGAGGGGTGAGCCTGAATGGGCCCGGCGGGCGCATGTGAACGCAGCCGTTGAGGCCTTTGGTGCAGCCTCCGATTGGGCCACGAAGCGTGTGAAAAGTGTGCCCAAAATGGGCACGGCGGGCGCATGCGAATGCAGCCACTGGGGCCTTCGGTGGAGCTCCTTAGAGGGCCACGAGGCAGGTGAAGGGTGCACCAAACTGGGTGCGGCGGGCGCATGCGAACGGTGGCATGTGGGCTTTCGGTGGAGAACCCTATGGGGCCACGAAACGTATGAGGGGTGTGCCGAAACAGACACATGCATGCGCATGGCAGAGACAAGGATGGGTGGAGGTAGGAGGGGGCAGCGAGAGAAGGAGGAAACACGCGGGACACCACAGGATGTTTGGGGGAAAACGCCGCCCTCCATCGTTGAATGTGTTGCAAACTTTAAAGACGAATGCGCGTGACGTTAACGCGAGAGCCACATTTTGAAAACCACCCGCCCTCTGTCAGCGAATGTGTTGCCAACGTTTAAGACGAATGTGTGCGTCGCTGAGGCGGAAACCAAATTTTGAAAACGGCTCGCCTTCCATCTGTGAAGCGGCTGCAGAAATCAAGCTGCAGGATCATAAATGATGAGGAATTCTGGGGCGAAAGGCCCTGCCCGCCCTATCGACGCGTTTGGGGTGCGACAGGGAGTGGGGAAGGAGGAGGCGGAGGAGAAGCAGCAGGAGGAGGAAGCGGGAGGCGGGGCAGGTTGGGGATGATGAGGGTGAGGACATAGAAAGGGAATGGGCAGGATAGGGAGGACCGAGAAGGAGGGAGGAAGTGGGAGGACGAGGAAGTGTGAGAGGAACAGGAGCGTGATGATGAGGAGGGGAAGGGAGGTCAGGCGATGGAGGGAGGATGCAGGACCGTATGAGGAGGAGGTGCATGGGGAAGAGAAGCGGCAAAATGCATTGTGCATGGGATGCCCTTTCCGCCTTTGGATGCACTGTTTATCAATACGCATGGCCGTCCGCTGATAAGGAGACCGAG